TAGAGGTCCTCAAGCAGCTGCATTTGTGACATTATTATCAATCACCTTAAATTATTAAGAAATATTTTAATCCTAATCAATTAGCGTTAATTCATATGACATTATTATTGTGACAATATCTCATAAGGTAAATGTTAGAATTTGAACCCACACAAAAGCAGACAATATGGCCCCTAAATGCAAAGCAAGAAGCCGACCAGTCTAAGTAGGTGAAGTCATTGTGTCAAATAAAAAGAATTATAAGTAGCCCCCCCCCCCCCCAAATATTGGTTCATTGTCCCCAAAAGGTAGCCTTTGGCTGCACTTTTTTGGGGGATAAATATTCGATCAAGTCAAATAAAATCGAATAATTTCTTTAAAATTATTGAATTATCTTATTTTTATCAATTAAATCTAATTAAATTAAACTTAATAAAATGTTTTGAATCGAGTCAATTAGATTTTCGGTACAATTATGACGAGAATCATTACTACTACCTATCACTCTCTTATTTTCATATTCATTTAAGGAAGTGGAAGTATTGTAGTACACCCTAGGGCTGAGCAACGAAATTGAAAAAATCAAAAAATTGATACGAACCGAGTAAAATGGTTCGATTCGATTTGGTATTATACGGTTCGGTTTTCGGTTCGGTTTAAAATCTTCATTCTTTTGATTCAGTTCGGTTCGGGTTTTCATTGAATCGAATAGGCAATTTTTTAAAAAAACTTATAGTTTCAAGTGATTTTTTCATTGAAAAATCAATAAATCGAACCGAACCGAAAAACCTGAACCGAAAAAACCGGTTTCGATTTTTTAATCATTCGATTTCGGTTTCGATTTAATTTTTGATAAAAAATCAAACTGAACCGAACCGAATACACCCCTAGTACACCCTCTTCCGTTTGGGATGTACAACAAAGCCTAATTTTTTAAATTTTTAATTAATTATTAATTATATTTAATTTAATAATTAATTAATCTAAATAAGATATTATAAAAGTTTATTATAATTATAATCGATCTTTCTAATTTAATTTATTTCATTCATAACATTAAACTTTGAACTTTTGATCTTATTTAAGAGATTTAATGTCTCATATCATTAGAATAACCGATTATTATTATTTAAATAATTAAATAAGATAATTAGTATTTATTTCTTCTATTGAGTTGATTTATATAGATTATTCTTGTTCATATTATATGAATTTTTGTATCATGTTTATATTATAGTTTTAGCATCTTATTTATTTTTCATATAATAATTTAGCATTACTCAATATTCGATTTTTTAATTTGATTATTGATTAAAAGTCTATTTTATCATGTTATTTATGTCCTTTTTATTGTTGAATCTTGCTTGCATTAATAATTTAATAGATGAACCACTATATATTTACATTAAAAAATAGAAGAAAAGAATTAAAAGGAATAAATAAGAGAATGTGAAAGCCAACATATGTTCCCTTAACTAACAAGTTTAATCATCACCAAAACAATGCATCGTTTCGTAACTTTAATGAGCTTAATTAAACAAAGGGTAAATTATGCGTTAGTACCTAAATTATAATTTTTGGTCTATTTTAATACTTAAATTTCATTTTATTCAAAATAATACATAAAGTTTAGTTTTTGTTTCATTTTAGTACCCGCCATTAAAAATTTTAGTTTTTGTTTCGTTTTAGTATCCCATTCAAAATTTAACGTTAAGTTAAAAAAAATTAAAAGTTCATATACTAAAACAAACCAACACTGATAGTTTAGGTACTAAACGATTTAAGTTTTTAATGGTGGGATGCTAAAATGAAATGAAAACTAAACATTAGATATGATTTTGAAAGTTTAAGTGATAAAATGAACCAAAATTATTAGTTTAAGTATTAAATGCGTAATTTATCCTTAAACAAATGGACAAGATTGATATTTATCATTGCGAATTAGACTTTATTTAGGCATTTTAATTTCTTGTGTAGTTCGATAACATTAACTCCTGTAAGAATTAGATAAAAAAATTCAAGAATTTATTAAATATTTAATCAAGTAGGAGTTGAACTAAAGAATAACATATGTTCTCGAATTGTTTTTCTACAAACAATCTAGGTCATTATAAGTTTAAATATTAGATAAAGTATACATTTGTCTTCTAAATTTTGAGTTTAAATACATAATAAGTCATTGTATTTTTCTTAAAATATCCAATATTATTTGTCCACCCTGAGATTCAAAATTTCTTCAGTTAGAAATTTATTTTATTTATTATGTCTATCCTAAAATTTTATTTGTGTTCACGTTATACAAAAAATTGTGTTGTTAGTATATGTGTGTTCATCCTAAAAAGTATTTTTGAACCCATCACCGGCTAAATTCATTGATGTCTATGAAACATAAGAGTCAAGGAAATGTGAGGGAGTATATTATAGATACGTTTAATATTACTTTAAGACTTAAGATATATAAGATCCAATCTTCTAAAAAATTGTTTGTTCTTATAATTTTAATATTATTTACAGTATAATTTAACTAATTTAAAATTAATTACAACCGTAAAAAAAAGAAATAAAATTTAAATAAGTTTATTTTTCATTGTGTTCTAAGGGACTATCGCCCTATATTTTTCATTAGCACACTACTTGTGTGGTGTAATATTTTAATGATATTTAGTTTTAGCAGGAGTTTATAATTTTAAAATACTCGTATGTTATAAACACAAATTTCGATTATTTCAATTAAAGATTTTTATGATTATTTTCATAGAAATAAACTTTTGATATATTTGCACTCTAATTATGGTAAAAGTTTGATCTCAATAATTTTTGTGTTATCCTATATGTATATAATTGATGGACGATATTGTTATAGAATACTTATTATATAATAGTAAATTTTAACCTCATAGGATTGTATATTTATTAAGAAACACGTGAGAGATTATTGGGTTACAATTTATAATTGTGGACATATATGTATAATGGCATTATAAAATACGACAAAAAATTAAGTGATCAATTATGTTACACGTGTCATAAGTATGAAGTACGATGGTAATAAAATGTAAATACCATAAGTTGTGTTTACAATTTGATGAGATACATAATTATAAATATCTAAAAACTAATTGAATGCTCATCTATATAAAGAGATAGCGGCTCTTAAAAAATAGGTTAACTTGTATTTATTTCCACTCCTATCAGAGAATTTTACGACAAGATAATATATATCTTTTTTGGAAGATCAAAACAAAAAAAAAAGATTTAAAGATTTCTACATATCGATCGATTCAAATACATTTTTATATTTAATATTTAGTTTATATCAATTTATTTGTGCTTCTATCAAAAATTGTATATAAATCCTTCAAAGGGATAAATATAAATGATCTAATAAATTAGTTTATGAATGATATTACATTGAATTATGGAGAGAATAATGTGTTTAATCCTAAAATTTATAGAAGATATTTGAGTGATTAAGCTGAACAATAATAATTTTCATTTGAAAGGTTTAATGACAAGTGTTGCATTGAATAGGACTTTAAATGATGAAATTCATTTTGTGAGTGAGGATTTTTTTAATTAATTATTGGTGTTAATATATTGATCGATTAATTTAGATCGAGTTTTGTAGATGTTTATTTTGAGTGATCATTCTAACTCATGTTACATTCATAATCGTTAAGATTTGAATTTCTAACCTTTCTTAAAAAATATAATGTTCATCCTACTATACCAACTGATTATTGATGTGAGGCATTTTAATTCGATTATTTTGATTTTAGTTAAAAAATACTTTGATTTATTTGGTTTATATATTTTGATTGTTTTAATCGGCCCTTATCTTGTGCTTGTCCCTAGTGATATTAAAAATATGATACATGAAATCATATAATAATGTTGCATATAAGAAAATATATCTGGTTTCAAACTATTATCTTAGTTATCCGATATTTTTTAGGTCATGAATTATAGACTCAATAGGAGCATTTTCGTTTTTTCTTATAAAGGCTCGCATTCCTCATCCTCTCCAAATAGGATTAAAATCACTGTTTTGAAAATTGGATCGGACCGATCGGTTCAATCGGGATCCGCTGCCTTGTCCGGTCCATTCTATCCGGTTCAATCGGTTCTAGTGAATCGTAAGAAACTGTTCGAACCGGCTTTGAACCGCTCGAACCAGACCGTGAATCGGTTCAACCTAATTTTTTTGATTTTTTATTTAATTTTTTTAATAATTATGACGTCGTCCGATTCTTACGATCGGCCTGACCGGTTCAATCGATTAAACCAGTAAACCGATAGCACAACCGATTCACTGATCGGTCCGATTTTAAAAACCATGATTAAAATTATATTTAAAAATTATTAAAAAAAACATTACATATCCATCCATGCAATTTTTTTTTGTCTAATAACATTTTTTAACCTAAAACTTTTTAAAGAGTCATCTTTAAGTTTTTTTTTTGCCTCTTGACTTTTATTTTTTAAAATTAAATTAAATAATAAAAAACTAAAAATATGTTAAATTGCATTAACTATTTAATTATTTTATCAGTATTTATGTCAGATATTTTATTTTCTTTATAAAAAATCTGCTCACCTCCTGCCGTAAAGGTTCATTTACACACTCCTCGCTCGCCACGTACTTACGGCTGTAAGGTCTTTTACGTCATTTGAATGCATCATCGAATTTGAATTACCGAAAACACCCCCAACGACGTGGCTCCAAACACTACGTTTCCTGTTTTTCTTTCGAGTGAAAACATGTGACTACATATTTTTAAAATTAAAATATAAATGGAATTATTAAGATATATGAACAATAAATGAGCATAAGTTTGATTGGTAAAAGTATAGAAAATAATTAAGTATGATTATAAAAAAGGTAAATAAAAAAATAATATTGAGAGAAGAAAAAGGAAGCAAATGTGCATTGGAAATGTCTTTTAATTTTCTTTTTCAACCTCTCGCGGCTCGGGCGATTTCCTGCTTACTTTTTCCTTCTTTGACTCTTCCCCTTTTGTTTTTTTAATTTATTTTTTATTAAGCAAACCGAAAACAACACAAAACCCCAGATTTTTCCCCTCCCGACGATTTCCTTTCGTTTCCTTCTTTTTTCCCCACCGTTAACTTCTTCTTTTATCGGAACTCACCGCCTGTCGCCGCCGCAGCACCGCTTTGATTTGACCTTTGAGTCGTTTTTGGCGCCGTCAGTCCAGGTTGAGGGGCGGACTCAGTCGTTGGTGATTTTTTTTGAAGAGGTGAATGCTGGGATTCCGGTTTTGAGGGAGTGGAGATCGCGTTAGATCTGCTGAAGGAATTTGTTTATGGTTTTCGTTAGCTGTTTGGGAATGGAGAGTTGAAACTTGTTTTTCTTTTGGATGGTAAGCGTCGGGGGGAACGAGGAGAGAAGTGAAGAGAACGGAGGAGAGGTGGTAGCTGCAGATGAGGAACGGAGCTCCGGAGAGCGATCGTAGAGGGCGGTGGCGTTTTGGTTATTTCCTCACATGGAATGGCAGATCTTGTTAGCTACGGTAATGCCCAACGTGACATCGACCAGGTCTTCCTCTTTTTCCTTTCTACTTTTCTTTGTTTTATAGTTGAACTTTAAGATTTTGTTTATACTTTTTTTTTTCTCAATTTCGTTGTTAACTTTGTTTCACTTCCGATTTTCCCCTCAAAATTTCTGATCATTGGAAGAAACGAAGGGTAATTTGGTGGAAATTTTGGATTTTTCTGCTATTTTATGGAGTCGCCAAGTGTAAGATTTGGTTCTTTCTAGATTTTCGGAGACTTCGCATAGCTTGGAAGAATGCTTTTTTTTTTGTATCTAAATTTAGGAGAATCTGGAAAACCGTTTGAAAATGTTGAATTTTTATGTTATTTCTTATTAGAAATTTCCGAGCAAAATTGGTTGTCAACTTTGGTTAATGAATTAGGAAGTTTCATGCTTTATCAGGCAGCAAGTTTAAAAATCGACTTGAAGGCATATAGTTCCAATAGTTCTCCAAATCTGATGGCCATGCCGATATGCTTACCTTGTGCAAATGATACATTGACTAATATATTAATCCGGCTAAAAATAGGGTGATGTTTATGAATATTTAACATTTAAACATGTATTAGTCAGAAGAGGAACGAGTGATGTTTAATTGTGCTGCCTGATGTTTCACATTTATCAGCTTATAGTTTTTAAGTGACAGCCTGATGTTTCTTGATCATTAAATTACTTTCTTGATGTTTTTATCCTTTTGCAGCTAATCTTTTTTACCTTATGTAGGCATTAATAGCTTTGAAGAAGGGTGCTCAGCTTCTGAAATACGGACGCAAGGGAAAGCCTAAGTTTTGTCCATTTAGACTTTCTAATGTAAGATTGGTTCCAACTTTTGGAACCTCTGTTACATTCTTTTCTTGTGTGAATGTTACTCTGTTATGCCTTCGTTAGATGGTGTTAAGTTGAAATGTACACGAATACTAGTGGAAGGACTTTTTAGAAAACCATGCATTACAGTTCATTAGCTCTCATTATGTGGAAGTAACATTGACTCAGAGAACTACTGAAGTTTCATATGATTTCAATCTTTCATGCTACTGAAGTTTCATATGATTTCAATCTTTCATGGTCTGTCTTACATAATTTTTTTAGACCCTTTTTTAACACTTTTTGTTTTATCTAAGTATCAATTTTTTGCACTTACCAGCTGTTTTCTTCTGTTTAAATTGCAGGATGAAACATCATTAATCTGGATTTCAAGTAGTGGTGAAAGAAGTTTAAAGTTATCCTTAGTCTCTAAAATCATTCCCGGGCAAAGAACTGTAAGATCTCTATGGTTCTCTTGTCACATTATATATTTATTATATGATTAGAAACGTGCATATCCATTATCTGGGTGGAAGCGAAAAATGTGAAATCTTTTATAAAAAGAAATAAGTTTGTAGTTTGTGAAGGAGAAGTGAGTAGTTTTTCTTTGAAATATCAAAGTGCTGAAATGAACTTGATGCTGTTGTAAGTTGTATTAATTAAGTATTTAAATAGTGTTCATGATTGAGTTGGTGTCTGGTCAAATCAGGAGACCAACTCAGTCAGGGACTTTAGTATTAGTGTAGATGTAGATTCTCTAATTTTAACCTTTTTTTGTCACAGAATCTAGTTTCTTTCTGTTATGCTTTTTTCTTTTGAATTTATACTAAAATTTTGTTGTTAATGCTCTATCAGGCTGTTTTCCAACGATATCTCCGGCCTGAGAAAGATTATTTATCCTTTTCTCTTATATTCAACAACGGGAAAAGGTCACTTGATCTGGTTTGTAATGGGACTTTGATATTCTGTTTGTAGATAGATGATCAACTATTATTGATATTTTATCCTCTTATGTTAGTCTGCTTTTGATTTGATGTTTGGTTGGCTTCTAGATTTGCAAGGACAAAGTTGAGGTAGAGGTGTGGATTGCAGGCCTCAAAGCATTAATATCCTCTGGTCAGGGTGGACGCTCCAAAATTGATGGCTGGAATGATGGAGGCCTTTACCTTGATGTAATTCCATCTCCATTCGACTTCTTTCCACCAGTCGTTTTTGTGTATTTTCTGTTTCATGAAGTGCTTTATATAATGACTACTGTTTGTACGTTTTCAAAATGTGATAAAGTTTTGCCCTTGAATTATTGGTTACTGAATCAAGACCAAAACTATCTTTCCAGCTTTTGATGAACAATTATGTAGACACCATTACTTGGTTGTTTGACAAATATAGGTGGTTAACTTTGTATTTGAGGTTTCACTGGTTTATTCCTTTAGTTATGGAAATTCTTTCATTTATAGGCGTAAAGATTTGTGCTTAGTGTTTTTCTTTTTAATTTATTACTGTTATAGCTACAGTTAATCAATTGTGTTTACCATAAATGTTTATCCTGCTGGTTTCAGGATGGCAGAGATTTGACATCAAATAGTGCAAGTGATAGTTCTGTTAGTGCTACTCGAGATATTAACACCCCTGAAGTTTTTGTCAGTTTTAATCCAAACACTTCACCTAAGAGTTTACAGCCTGCAAATTCTTTTCATTCTGAAAGGTCACATGCAGCATCAGAAGGCACAAATATGGATGTAAAAGGATCTAGTTCATATGCTTTTCGTGTTAGTGTTTCTAGTGCCCCAAGTACCTCTAGTCATGGTTCTGCACCGGATGATTATGATGCTTTAGGGGATGTGTATATATGGGGTGAGGTTATCTGTGAAAATGCTGTGAAGGTTGTAGCTGATAAGAATGCCAATTATTTGAGCATGAGAGCGGATATACTTCTTCCCAAGCCTTTAGAGTATAATGTAGTTTTAGATGTACATCATGTAGCCTGTGGTGTCAAACATGCTGCCCTAGTTACAAGGCAAGGTGAAGTTTTAACATGGGGTGAAGAATCTGGTGGACGACTTGGCCATGGTATTGGGATGGATGTTTTTCAACCTCGTCTTGTTGAATCACTGGCTGTCACTAGTGTTGATTTTGTTGCCTGTGGTGAATTTCATACTTGTGCTGTTACAATGGCTGGGGAACTTTATACATGGGGAGATGGAACTCACAATGCTGGGCTTCTTGGTCATGGCACCGATGTCAGCCATTGGATACCAAAGAGAATTTCAGGTCCTCTCGAGGGACTTCAAGTTGCTTCAGTAACTTGTGGTCCATGGCATACAGCTTTGATAACATCAACAGGACAGCTGTTTACTTTCGGGGATGGTACATTTGGTGTCTTGGGTCATGGTGACAGAGAAAGTGTTCCATATCCAAGAGAAGTAGAGTCTTTGTCAGGATTGAGAACAATTGCTGTGGCATGTGGAGTGTGGCATACTGCTGCCGTTGTTGAGGTTATTGTCTCCCAGTCTAGTGCTAGTGTTTCATCAGGAAAATTATTCACGTGGGGGGATGGGGACAAAAATCGTCTTGGACATGGAGACAAGGAACCTCGGCTTAAGCCCACATGCGTGCCTGCACTAATTGATTACAATTTTCACAAAGTTGCTTGTGGGCATAGCTTAACAGTTGGTTTGACCACATCAGGACATGTTTTTACAATGGGGAGTACTGTGTATGGTCAACTTGGGAATCCCTATGCTGATGGGAAAATACCATTTTTGGTAGAAGACAAGCTTTCAGGGGAATGTACTGAAGAAATTGCCTGTGGTGCATATCATGTAGCAGTTTTAACATCCAGGAACGAAGTCTATACATGGGGAAAAGGAGCTAATGGTAGGTTGGGCCATGGAGATGTTGAAGATCGAAAAACTCCTACTCTGGTTGAAGGTTTGAAGGATAGACATGTGAAATTTATTGCTTGTGGTTCAAACTACAGTGCTGCAATATGTCTCCATAAATGGGTATCTGGTGCTGACCAATCTCAATGCTCAGCTTGCAGACAGGCTTTTGGATTCACCAGGAAAAGGCATAATTGCTACAATTGCGGACTTGTGCATTGCCATTCCTGCAGTTCAAAAAAAGCACCAGGAGCAGCTTTGGCTCCTAATCCTGGGAAACCTTATCGTGTTTGTGATTCCTGTTTTGCCAAGCTGAACAAGGTTTCAGAAGGTAGTAATAGCAGGAAGAATTCCGGACCTCGCCTTTCTGGAGAGAACAAGGACCGGTTGGATAAGGCTGAAATAAGATTATCCAAATCTGCAACTCCTTCTAACATGGACTTGATTAAGCAGTTAGATAGCAAAGCAGCCAAACAAGGAAAAAAATCCGAAACATTCTCCTTGGTTCGATCCACTCAAGCACCTTCTTTGTTACAGTTGAAAGATGTTGTTTTGTTTAATGCTGCAGATTCGCGAAGGACACTGCCTAAACCGATTCTTGCAGGATCTGGAGTAAGTTCCAGATCTGTTTCACCTTTCTCAAGGAGACCTAGCCCTCCTCGTTCCGTGACCCCAGTTCCTACAACATCTGGACTTTCGTTCTCCAAAAGCATCGCTGATAGTTTGAAAAAAACAAATGAACTTTTGAACCAAGAAGTGCTTAAGTTGCGCTCACAGGTAGGAATGCCGTTGGTGCTTTCAATATTGTATTCTGTGGATGGGCCTTGTGGTTACTGAATCCATGTAAATCTGATGATTGTGGATCTATTACAGGTTGAGACCCTAAGAAAGAGATGTGAACTCCAGGAAATGGAGATTAAAAAAACAACAAAGAAAACCCAGGAAGCTATGACACTGGCTGCAGAGGAGTCGGCAAAATCTAGAGCTGCAAAAGAAGTTATAAAGTCACTGACAGCTCAGGTTATCTTCAGCTTTATTGTTCTCGCTATTGTTTAATTGAACTCTCTTTTGTGGAAATCTGTTTTTATTAACTTACAAAGCAATGTTAACATCATCATGATACGCATAATGGTTTTCCAACAAGATTAGCTTCTCAAAACAATTCATTGATTCTTTTTGTTATCTTATGTGTTAAAACATTTTATTTCAGTGATTATAAAATCCTTTGCATCCTCATTATGAGACTTGGTGCTACTTTGCGATCCTAGCCTATTTCTTGCCTTGCCAATTTGCCTATCGTAATTCTTATTGCAATTTGTTTCTATACTGCTTCTCAGCTTAAGGATATGGCTGAAAGGTTGCCACCTGGAGTTTATGACACAGAGAACATCAAACCAGCATACTTGCCAAATGGCTTGGAGGCCAATGGTGTTCACCATCCAAATGCAAATGGAGAGGGACATTTAAGATCTGATTCAATCGGTGGCTCTTTCCTTGCTTCCCCTACTGCACTTGATTCTACCACAATTGGTGGCACTAAGATCCCTGGCCAATTACATAGGGAACCAACTGGAACCAACGGTGGAGATGAACATTCTGTGGCAAGACTGCTCAATGGTAGTGGGGGTTTACTGGGAGGTAATGGTAGTGTGACAGCAGCTGTCGATGAAAGGGAATCTAGTTCTTTTGGAGATGGCGAAAATGGAATGAAACCTAGAACTTCTGCATTGGTTGCTAGTGGCAATCAAGTGGAGGCTGAGTGGATTGAACAGTATGAGCCTGGAGTCTACATAACTCTTGTAGCGCTGCGGGATGGAACTAGGGATATCAAACGAGTGCGCTTCAGGTGCATTTCTAGAATTTTCTTTTATCAACACTTGTGTCAAAATACAACATTAACAACAGAAAAATTTAAAGAAATTAAAAAGAAGAGATGAAGCGAAAACTAATGATTTGTTGATTTAAACATTAGAATGAAATGTAGGTTTTACCTCAGTCATCTTAAATCATTTTATGGATCTAGGGTGTTAAGAAATGTTCATATATGCAGCCGGAGAAGATTCAGAGAGCACCAAGCAGAAACTTGGTGGTCGGAAAACCGGGAGAAGGTATACGAGCGATACAACGTTATATCAGACAAAGCATCCATATCTGGGCAAACTGCCCGCAGGTCGGAAGGAGCTCTCTCACCCACGGCTCAAGTGTAACGAAAGGTTTCAGCTTCATTTTGTGTCACTGATTAGGCTATGAGGAGCGTGGAAACCCCCTCTCTTTTTTTCCCCCTTTTTTTGTTTACATATTTTGACTGCCCCATCTATAATTTATTTTTATTGCACTTAATTCTCTCCTTGTCTTTCACAGATATGGTGTATTGCAGTATATATAAAATCCCTCTGGCGAGAAAGGTTTTGTTCATTGCTTTCTCCATCCCTTTGAATTCTAATTTCAACATTTCCTGCCCCACTTCTCTTTTGAATTAGACTCAGGCAGGGTTACTCGAAAAAATACACTTAAAATTGAAAATTCATTCCATCTTACGAGAAATGATTTGGACAATTAGCTCGTTGATAGTAGACTACTAATCTTTGGTTAAATTCATTTATTGGTCCTTGCATTGTACGTAAAACAAACGTTGAAAGCTATTATTATTAGGTAGAAAATGGTGAGCCGAGTGGACGTGGAAAAGACACAGTGACATGTGATTGGATTTGACTGGGTCTTGCACCCAAAAGGGAGCATTGACCGGACCGGGTGCCGTGTCCTACCCGGTCAGGGGAGCAGCCAATTCGTATCATATTTGATGAGCCTGATTATTATTGTAGTCGATAGGGTTGGATAGACAAACAATGGAATGGAATGTGCATTTTATTTGAAGCAAATTTGCATTATTGTTGAGGTAGAAATGTTGTTTTTGGAGCAAAAAGTCACAGCGTTTTGCTCTTACCTACTTTCATTATCAAATTTAGACTTAATATAAAAAATAAATACTCAATTTATATTATTTCTTTAATTAAGTTCCTAAACTTTTTGGTTAGTCTAGATGTCTGACATTACAAGCGTTATCATTTTAGTTGTCTGAATCGTAATGGACGTTAAAAATTCATTATACGATACATTTTTTAATTTTTTTTAAAAAATAAAAATATTATTAAAAAAATCCCATCCCCTTCTTCAGTGAACGGAAATTCACTCCAAAACAAATCAATTGTAATGCAACAATAGTTTAGAAGATAGATTTAAACTTTTATACAATTTTAAAAATGAATTTATTTTTTGTCTAAGAGCTCATAGCCCATCAACCAATTAATCTGGCAAGTGCTCTAATTTCACCATTCAAACCTGTTGCAGGAATAAAAATTCACTCCCCCCGTGATGTAGTGAAAGAAAATTCACTCCCTTTTCCTCCCGTAGTATGAATAAATCTAAATCTCCAAACATTAAATTTAGGGTACGTTTGGTTCACGGAATGTAAGATTACCAGTGGGAATGTAAGATTACCAGGGAATAGGATTACTGTGAATATTGTATTTTATGTTTGGTTGGTTTAGTAGGAATGTAAGATTATCGTGTTTGGTTAAAAGAATAAAAGATTATTAGAATATATATTTTACCAAATTGTCCTTATTATATATTTTTTTTTAACAAGTTGAATTCTACTATAATATTACTATAATTAATTTATATATTTTCTTTAAAAATTTTAAATTCATAAAATTTATATAATTATTTTTACAAAATTGAAAAGATAAATATGTTTAATGAAAGGGTAAAATTTTATTTTAACTCCTGAACTTCATATAAAATTATAATTATGAACTTTTTTTTTGTAAATCTAAAACAATTTAAGGATAAATTTGTAATTTAACCTTCGTAGAATTTTTATTATTCAACGACAGAAGAAGGATAATTTTGAAAAAAAAAATTAATGGCATTTAGTCCAAAACGCCGGTAATCCAACAATACCTAAAGGAATGGGGTAATCACATTCCTGATAATATACCCAAAAAATCCAATGTTGGTAATAAAAGATTATCGAGAATAAGATTGCCAGCCAACCAAACGGGGAATGAGGATTCCATTCCCTAGTAATATCTTATGTCGTGAACCAAACGGCCCTTTAAGGTTAAAATTTAGGGGTTCACGGTGAAAACAAATACGATGTCCCATCAGTGAGCGGGTGAGAACAGAGACGGTGATCAAAGATAATAAGAAATGATTGACGACAGGAAATAGAATTTGAAATTAAAGATTTTAAGTTTTTTTAATTAAAAAATGAGTTTTTTTATTATAATTTTTAACTTTTTTTCAAAAATAAAATTTTAAAATTATATAAATATAACACATGACATTTAAAGAAATTTTTTAATGATTATTACGATTAGACATTTAAAGTGATAATATTTATAACATCATACATTTAAATTGACTAAAATAAATTTAGACAGTTAAAAAGAATAGTTTGGATACTTATTTCTATATTAAGTTAACAAATTAAAATAATTATAATTTAATATTTTGAGTAAAAAATTGAAAAAATTGAAAAAAGCCTCAAGCATTTGATTTTTTTTTGGTACACATGGAAAATATAGAACTAAAATCTTAACTCGCTCGCTCCGTTCTTGTCAGCTCCCAACATCGCTTTGATTTCAATTGGAGGAGATTGTAAAAGGGAGGAATCTTCCTCTTGAATGAGCGCAAGGTTCACCAGTTTATCAACGCATTTATTTCCTTCTCGCAAAGTATGTCGTATTTCAAACACCCATCATTCATTTATGATTTCTAAACAGTCGTTAACCAGATTAAATTATGGAAAATCATCCATTCCTTCTCCGTTAAAAATGTCCACAATCATTTAGCATCCAAGGATCAGGTTTCTCAAACCAAGCCTTTTAGAACCCTCTTTTAGAACCACTTCACATACACTTTGACTCCTCTCTATCCATATAAAAATAAACCTTCTCGTGTATTCAGAGCCAAGCAAAAGCTTCTCTCTCTCCCTCTCTCTGCAAAAACGAAGGTTTTAATTTTTAAATTAACAAAAAAAAAAAAGTGGTGAAAGAGGAACTGTACATAACCGTACCGAGTGTTTTCCGGTGTCCAATATCATTGGACGTGATGAAATCTCCGGTTAGCCTCTGTACTGGTGTTACCTACGACCGTTCCAGCATCCAACAATGGCTCGAATCCGGTCACGACACGTGTTCCGCCACCATGCAGGTTCTTCCATCCAAGGATTTCATCCCTAACCTCACTCTCCGTCGTATAATCAATCTCTGGATCCAATCTTCTACTCTCCGGCCAGGTGCTAACTCTCCGCGGCTGCTTCCGGCGATCTCCGAGGTTCGAGCTAAGCTATTGAAGGAGAAGATTGAGAGCCAGTGCTGCGTCGAATCATTGTCTAAAGTTGTCGAATTCGCGTGCCATTGTGAAGAGAACCGAAGATTTGTGGTTAGATTCGACGGTTTTGTTGAGGTGGTCGCCGGAGTATTGAGAAGGAAATTTGTGGAAATCAAAGCTTTGGAAATGGCGGTTGGGATTTTGAATTTGAATTTGAGCGAAAACGGAGTTAAAGAACGGTTAAACAAATTAATTTTGAAAAGCAATCAGGAAAGAAATTTCTTATCGAAGATCGTTTTCGTTCTCCGAAACGGAAGCCCCTACTCCAAGGTCAAATCAGTCCGAGTCCTTGACTCACTAGACTCGACTCAGAATCCAAACGCAGAATCTCCTACTCACAAGATCTTATACCCGTCCTCCTACACCTCCTCCAAACAAACAATGACCGGTCACTAAACGATGCCGTTACCTCCATTCTAACCACCGTTTCAATAACTCGTTCCATCAAGTCCCGCCTCATTGAAAATGGCATCATAGAGATCCTATTGAACTCGTCGATGATCGAAAAGTCATTGAAGCTGTTAGCAACGCTCAGCAGTAGCAGCGAAGGCATGTCGACGATAAGCTCGAATACGAAATGCGCGGCGACAGTGGTGGAGAAGCTGTTGGAGGTGTCAAACAGGCGACGAGGATGCAATGGTGGTGCTGTGGAGCGGGTGCTACTTGCAAAAAGAGGAGAGAGTGAAGGAAGTTGATATGATCTCAATTATGTATTCCGAGTCATATATAAGTGCCCGATTATGATTCTACTAAGAACTTCGCAGTGCTTTGATTAAAGATTGAAAATGATATGGAACGTGACCCAATAACTATAGATGAGCTATGAACCAACGCTATAACAAAATGGAATGAATGAAGACTACAAGATTATCTTGAAGCAATAAAATTCTACAAGAGAACAATAATGATAGCAACCTCTCGAAGATGTTTTATATATTCAAATGTCTTTACAAATGATACCAAATGTACTTATTTATAGAATTTCTAAGCATCATATGAAAAGACTCAAAAGATGAAAACATTATTGTCAATTTAACAATAAAATGCACTTGAATGCTTTGTCTTCTTATCTTCAAGGTTGTCTGAATATTCTAGATTATTTCGTGATGAATCTAGACAATTTGAAGCTGAATTTGACCTTAATTTCCAAGGATAGAAGACTCTTGCTATTCTATGCTGAAAGTTGTCTTAATAAGTGAATTAAATTAGCCTTCATTGCATGTTTCTTTGAAAAATATGAACAACTCTTGAATTTAGATGATAACAATCAGTTTTGAATGCATTGAATGTGTGAATTAAGAGTCTTTTAATGGCTTGTCACTTGGCTGAAGTTGAAAAGACTCTCTATTGGCTCAAACTCATACAAATCATCATGCATAAAATTCCCATTAAAAAATTCCAGCTTGCACTGTCTTCAATAAATCGATCATATCTCAAGCTCCCGATATCGAATTGAGGTGATTCAAAAGGCGTTGGAAAGGTAAGAGATAGAGGAATAATGTCCAATTGATTTATGGACCCAAACACGTCTGTATTGTATCCAAAGTTGGAATACACTCTGACTGATATTCTTGCATCTGATGAAAGCGTTCAACTTCTCTCATGCACCTAAACACAAATGTGAACTTTATTCAATATTTAATTAAAAATATGCATGAAACAATTAAGAGTTAATTTGATTAATGCACTAGTTTGATTAATGAACAAACTTTATTAATGAACTAAATGCATGAATGAAGTAGTTTATTAAATGACTAGATGCATAAATGAACTACTTCCCTAAATGAAATACATACTTAAATGTAATGAATGCTTTAATAAACAACATACTTATTAAATGCAATGAATGTAATGCAACTAATAAAACTCATGCAAATTCATGTAATAAATGATATCATATGATAAGTATATCTTAAGAGGTAAATACAAACATATGATAAAATGTAGTGTATAAATGAGTAGGTATAGGATGAAGTAAGGTAGAACTTCCTTTGAATCAGTCTTGGTGAACTTCAATT